TCTGTGGCAATACATGTAGATGCTCCATAAGAGGGGATACTTGGGAGGTCCACGTGCCTTTCTTGGTTGGCCTGACTTGTTGAGCTTCACTGGCCTATCACTTGGTGCTGAAGAATTGCCTTTCTTGGCTTCGCATTTCGAAATTAGATGTACAGCATTTATGCAAAAAGCGTTTCCCGATGATCAATGCATGTCGGAATGATGCATTTTACTATATCCACACCCATCTTTGACATACCAGCACGAGATTCCACATGGTCGACTTTATCATGGGCAACCCATACAACTCCTTTCAATGCGTAGATATTTTCCACTTGCTGCACACAATCCTTTTCATCGATTTCTTTCCATTTATCACATAGGAGCTCTTGACGCTTTGTTTCGAACAACTCTACACTGCTCGCGTTACTTGTTTCGTCAACACCCTCGACGATCGTGGCATTCGGAACAGATTCGTCATTGTGGTTGTCAGTGAGGTCAATAACTTCGCGTTGCATAGTTACAGGTAAACACAGGAGAAAAAGGTTTTTTCCTCTGTAGCACTGAGTCTTTATTTAAAAAAGCGTAACAGTATCATTATGTAATTGACAAATAAAGCTTTTCTTTTATTTGAAGTGTGTCAGCTATAACCAAGCCTACTAATGAGCCAAGTACATGGAGGAACGAGATGAGCGTGCTTGTTGTAAGATCGAGTTGGGTAGATCGGCTGCAGGTTGGAGACCCATGTCGACGTAGATTTTGGAGATTGGGTTAATTGGCGAAAAAAAAGAGATGAGCATGTTGCCAGAGAGTAGATCTATATTGTAGGCTACCTCAATTGGTGTCGAATTGGGAATGGGGAGCGAGATGGGTTGATGATCGGCAAGCTGTTGCAGTGGGAAATATAAAGTGGGAGAGTCAAAGTGCGCTGAGTGAAAAATATAAATTAGGGTGAAATAAGACCGTTGAGACCGGGAGCGATGGTAGAAACAGCATCAACATCACCTGTAGCAGAGGCTCATGTCAACGCCCAAAATACGGAAGCTGATGATCTGGGTACTGGAAACAATGGCATTGTGCATTCTCGCACTGATAGTTCTGGTCGTAAGATTGTTTTGCAACCGTATAAGGGTAGAGGCCAAGATGCTCAGGCTTGGATGTTAAATTTTGAGACCGTGGCCAATTACTTGGAATGGAGCGTCCCTCAAGCAATCAAGGAGTTCAGTGTTTCTATGCATGATGATGCTGCCCGTTGGTGGCATGGGTTGGATCCTTCGTGCAAGATGGATCGGGATGTGCTGAAGGAGGAGTTTACCATGTATTTTGCAGGCGGCATGACTAGTGGTGAAGCTGCTATGGCAAAGATAGAGCAACTCAAACAAGGCACCATGCCAATGTATCAATTTGGCACTCGTTTGAAATCGCTATTGACCCAAGCACAACGAGACATGGCTGAACATGTTCGTCTCCATTTTTTCTATACACATGCAAAACCAGAGCTGGCTGCCAAGGTTCGAGAATTAGGTCCAAGGACTTTAGAAGACGCGGTGAAACAAGGCATTCGAATCGAGGAGGCAAGAAGACGCACAAACAAGAAACCTTCTTTGTCTCATACACAAGTCCCTTTGAGTCTACCACCTGGATCAAGCAATGAATCACAACCACCACCTCCACCACCACAAGATGAGGATGGCGATGTGGAAATGAAGCTGAATTCCCAAAGAACTCAACGTCAAGGGAAACCAGGCACATGTTATTATTGCGGCAAATATAGTCATTGGGCCAAAGTTTGTCGTAATAGACCGGGATCGAAACGAAGCAAGAAGGGGCACAAACAAAATGCACAACACGCCAACACAACGCAAACAACTCCAGAGAACATCATATCAACCAGCAACTATTTCGAAAGAGCTTTACAAAATACCATGCGCATTCAAAACAGCCAAAACACGAGTGCAAGGTTTTTTGTATCGGTCACCATCAATGGCCAAGTTTTCGAAATGCTGGTGGATACGGGTTCAGACATCACTACGGCTACAGCGGATGTTGTGGAGCAATTTGGTGAGGTGCAACGTGTTCCAACGAGCACGTTATCGATCGTTTACGGTGACGACACATCAACACAAACATCTTCGGAGGCAGTAACGGTGGATCGTTTCAGCATTCAAAATCAAGCGTATTCAGCATCATTCAGAATAGTCCAACACCAAAACCCATCCATCATTTTGGGAATGGATTGGTTACAACAACAAGATTTACTTTTGGATCCAATCGACCACATTTTGTTACCAAGGACCAAGAGCAAGAAGGTGGCGGCTCACGTACCAGCACAACGTAGCCCACAGGAATGTGACATCTTATTGCGCAAGTACCCAAGTGTCATTGAGATCTCTGATAAGCAATCGGTGATCAAAGGACCCGTTGAGCATCACATTGATACCGGTGATTCACCACCAGTGGCTACAGCAGATTATCGGAGATCCCCTAAGGAGCGAGAAATCATTCATCAAGAAGTACAAGACATGCTCAAGAGAGGAATCATTGAACCTAGTGTCAGTGATTGGGCTTCTCCATTAGTCGTAGTCGACAAAGGTGATGGATCCTATCGCATGTGCGCAAATTACAAGCGTCTCAATCAAGTCACAAGGAAGGACAAGTACCCACTGCCAAGAGTGGAGGATTTGCTCGATCGATTAGGCGGATCATCAATCTTTTCAACTATTGACCTTCGTTCGGGGTATTGGCAAATACCCATGGCGGCAAAAAGACAAGTGCAAAACAGCTTTTTATGCTGAAGGTCAATTGTACCAATTCAAGGTTATGCCCTTTGGTGTATGCAACGGCCCAGCAACTTTCCAACGGATGTCAAATCAGGTTTTACAAGGTCTGTCAGCATTTAGTATGGTTTACATCGATGATATAATCATTTTCTCAAAGGATTCGACTACACACATGGACCATTGTGATCAAGTATTTGCTCGACTTGACAAGTGGAACTTGAAGATCCATTTGGGGAAGTGTCATTTTTTCAAGGCCGAGGTCAAGTTTTTGGGATTCTTCGTTTCTGGCAAGGGTATCCGGCATAATCCCGACAAGGTGAAAGCTATCTTGGAATGGCCCAAACCAAAAACCACACAAGAATTGAGGCGATTCCTTGGCATGTGCGCATTCTACCACAAGTTTTTACGTTCTTTGTCTTCTATCGCAGCTCCATTATATCGACTTACAGGCAAGATGGAGATGAAGGAATGGGATGAAAAGGCTGACAAAGCATTTGACAAGCTCAAGACACGATTGGCGGAATTACCTATGTTGAGGTATCCAGATTCCAACATCCCTTATGAAATGCACACGGATGCCAGTGATTCAGGCTTGGGTGCTGTTTTGGTGCAAGAAGGCAGGCCCGTATCGTTCGCAAGTCGATCACTTACAACAGCTGAGGCGAACTACACAGCTACGGAGAAGGAATGTTTGGCGGTCGTTTGGGCTCTAAGATACTTTCGTCCTTATATCCATGGCGCATCATTGACCATTTTTACGGATCACATGGCGTTGAAGGCTATCGTCAGCAGCTCCAATCCAAAAGGTCGTATAGCAAGGTGGATCATGGAATTGGATGCGTATGAATTTACGGTGATCCATCGTCGTGGCATGGATAACTTGGATGCAGATGCTTTAAGCCGTGTATACTCCAACAACCAATACACGCTTACGGATGATCTCATTCGAGCTCACCAGCTGGCTGATCAAGACATTCAAGGATGGTCAAGTGAAGAACAACAAGGAAAATACCGGTGGTTACAAGGTTTATTTTTCCGGATCAATGAATCAGGCACATATACGTTGGTGATGCCCAAAGCTCTATGCAAGTATTTCCTTCAATTGATACATTCCCATCCAACAGCGGGCCATATGGGACGAGACAAGACCATAGCCAAAGCCAAACAAGTAGCATGGTGGCCAACATTAGTCCAAGACGTGACCGATTTTATACGCAAGTGCCCTGATTGTCAACGACACAAGACCTTGAAGCACAAGTATGGATACCTTACAAGCATTCCGGTTGGCAATCCTGGGGAAGTATGGGCATCGGATGTGGCGATCATGGCAAACGTCAGTGAGAGTGGCAACAAATACATCGTGGTGTTTATGGAATACTTGACAAAATGGGTGATCACGGCAGAATTGTCAAGCTTTACTACCACGGAGTTGGCGAACATCCTTTTATACCGCATCGTTCTTGTATATGGAATGCCAGCAAAGTTAATCACCGACAACGGAAGCTCATATGTCTCGGAAGCCATGAACATCATTTGCGATCGGTTGGGGATAGCAAGATCAGTCACCTCGGTAGAACATCCTCAAACAGATGGCCTTGTGGAAAGAATGAATCAAACATTGAAGACTGCATTGGCACCTTATGCGTATGAGTATCCTCGACGTTGGGACCAGTTTCTTCCTTTTGTCACATTCGGCATCAATACGTCAAAACAAGCATCCACGGGCTTCACTCCTTTTGAGTTGATGTATTGCCGAACAGCAAATCTACCAACTACAGCAAATATGAAGGCACCACCGATGAAGGCACACAATGCGGAGTCATGGCTAGCGTATTTGAATTATCATTTACCAATCATTCACGCAACGGCAAAGAAGAACATCCTAGCAGCTCAAGCACGACAACAACGCTATTACAACCGAAATCGCCTTCCAGCAAGAGAATATCAACCAGGCGATTACGTGCTCAAAGACATCCCCTTGGAACAACGTGGGTTTCCAAAGCCCAAGTTCACAGGCAAATGGCGGGTTTTACGCAAGACATCGGATGATCAAGCTTATGTTCTCGAATGCGCAGTGCCAGGCAGAAAGAAAAAGCGAACCACAGCAAATCAATCACAATTGGAGCCTTATTATGAATAGTCTTTTGTTATCTTATTATGAATATCCAATTTTTTTCTTCTCTCTTATTCTTATCCTTTCAATTGAAGAGGGGGATAGTGTGACAGATAGCATTCCCAATATAGATAGTATCACCCCCCATAGCAATAAACCCAGTTCTCTTTCCTCTAACTCTCACATTCTGGTAGGGCAATTGCGTTCCACATGACCAGTTGTGCCACAGTGCCAGCAAACGATGTTGGCATTGTGATTGTAACGCGGACCTTTATAGCCACCACGACCACGTTGATTGATGAAACCTCCTCGTCCTCGTCCTCGATTGTTCATTGGTTGGCGCCAAGATCCACCACGAGGTATTCTCCTGCTAGCTTGTCGAGCATCCCACATTGCATCGAGTTCCATACGATCATCACCTTGATTTGCTTGTACTTGTGCTTGACCATGCCTTCTTATCGTACCATGTTGAATAGGATGATCCACACGCATTCCACGAGCGATGTTGGCTGCCGACTCATATCGTTCAGCTGCGTTGTAAGCATCACGTAGTGTAACCAAATCCTGGAGTAACACTTGCATGCGAGCTTCATCATCAAGCCCTTGCACGAAACGATAAATTGCATCGGCTGGATCCATACTTGGTAATTCGAGCATGTGCTTACGAAAGGTAGCTACATACGCACGAATGATTCCTTCCGTTTGTTGCGAAATGCGATCCAACGCCTCACGAGCCAGTTGTTCAGAGTTATTAGGTTTGAATTCATCGCGAAACGTGACACAGAAGTCATCCCAAGTGGTTGGTTGATATACATCAGGGTCATTTTGTAATTGTCGCCACCATTCAGAGGCTTCTCCTCTTAATACAGTGGAAGCAAAACGCACCTTGACATCTTACACTCATAGTACTGTTCTTCAGGCGGCAATAATTGTCAAAGGCATGAAGCCATCCTTCCACTGCTTGTGCGGTACGTTCACCACAATATACCTCAGGTGGCATCAATCGAATGCCATCAAGTTCATCAGTGGATCGGGTACCCGAAGAAGATGAGTTGTGTTGTTGTAGTAGGACCTGAAGTGATTGCATGATGACATGTAAAGCGGTGTCCTCAGTGGTCACTGATTGTTGTGGAGCTGTGGAATTCTCACCACGGCCGTCTTGAGCTTGTTCGCGATTATCCATAATAAATGATGGTGATGGTGATAAAGAAGCGTCAGCAGGAAGTTGTCCAATAGCAACAAGAAAACGACGACGTAAGTTGGTTGCTTGTTCTTCGATCTTCGTTTGACTAGCTGGCCCGTATGTTGTGCGTTGCTCTTCAGGAATAAAGATGATCTCCGTGTGTTGTCGAAAAAGTGCCTGTTGCGAAGGGTTCAAGCCAGCTAGGATCTTCTCTTAGATAGCGAATTGACGTTGTTGTTGTTGTGAGTACAGGTTGCTCATCGATCAGCTACCAGTGTCGTGTAGAGGGACGTAGCTATACAAAGCACTAAAGCAATAGCACGTATCTGAATACTTTTGGAAAGACTTGTGTTCTTTATTGTTTTGGGTATTGCATGTATATGTATATATGTAAGATGATAGAGTGGGAGTACAAAAGGTATTGGGTACGACCCATATTGCTACACAGATGTTGAGTATCACTTTGATACGACTGTCGCAGCAACATACCGGATCTTCTTGATCGGTATTATCTTTTTGTACATCTTTATCATCTTATCTTCTTTATGCTGCGCCCTCCATCGTTACTTCGCCACATCCACATTACTTAGCCCCATGCAGCAATTATAAATAGTGGACCATCTCATAGAATATGTAGCATTCACAGCTACAAGATACGCTAGTTTCACTGAGATTACG